ATATTATATATGTACATATTATTTATATTTTTAATTTGTATTAATATACCGTTTAACATGTAATTTTTTATGTATTTTTTTACAAAATAAAAATAAAAATAATTTTAAATAAGATAGAAAAATTGAAATTTAAAATAAGATATGAATTTATTAAAATTTATAAGTATAAAATATATTTAATATGAATATTTTTTAATAAAAATAAATAAAAACAGAGTCATGCGGTTCAACTAATGACCCACCGGTTCAACCTTTGACCCACTGACCCAGTACCTTAACCGGTTCGATGACCGGTCCGGTTTTTAAAACTATGAGCATAACTAAGATTTAGTCTTTAAGCAATAGTTGACAATGCCTTTGGGTAGTGGCCTTCGAGCAACAACTGACAGTTGTGAGCCTTTGGACAGTGGCCTTCAGACAATAGTTGATAGTTGTGAGCCTTCAGGTGGTGGCCTTGGGGCAATAGTTGATACTTGATTTTATTGATGCCACATGCATATGCACATTGAATTCTATGTCCATTGCATTATGTGTGTTAATGTATTCGTGTAATGAACATTGTTGTAGGAATTGTGATTGACCTTGTTGCACTATCTTGTCATGATATATGTATATGTATACATTATTGTTATTATACCTTGTGGTGTGTTTGACTATCCAACTATCTCTTATGTTGTGAGGCAAAGTAAGATGTTTCTCACTTTCCATTTCTTATTGTTGTTCCTTTTGGATTTTGTTGTAGGTGATATTCATTAGGATGTTAATGATGTTAGTGATGAGGCCTAGTTTTTTCTTTTGGAATTTTGCTTTGATAAATGTAACCTTAGGGTTTAGTTAGGATTTATTTTTGTTATTATGCTCTTAGGACAATTGTTATTTCTAATGTATTAGGTTTCAGTTAGACTTTAGTTGGTTATTGTTAGTTAAAATGTGATACTTTTCATGTTGAACAATTGAGATTTACTTATGATAGATGTTTTGATTCAATTTTTATTTATTTCATGTATTACAATACTATGAGGTAAAGAGTGTAAAAAAGGTGCAACTTTTGGCAGACCTCAAGGCAGAGCTCGTGTCCATGGGTCCCACGACAACAACTCTCTCCTCATTCTCCTTGTCATTGTCCTCCTCTTCCTCCTTCTTCTACCAACTCAAAGAGGAGTTGTGCTACCTCTTCGACATTAAAAAAGGATGCAATTAATGTAACACAATTAGATGTGAAATTATACATTGATGGCACGTCGAAGCAATTGGTGGCCATAGGTAAGATGTATATGTTGGGATTAACCATCCACCACTAGGAGATTGTAGATTATGCTACAAGTGGACGTTGTCGACGTTAGAGAGCATAATGCTTGAGTCCATGTGCCCACAATAGAGGTTCAGACAATGGGACATGCCTTAGGTGCCTTTATCCTATGGTCAAGTAGGCTAACTAGGGTCTATGTGCCTAAGGTAATCAATGCTTCAATTTAATACATTCTAATGATATCCTTAATTAATTATGTTTTATTAACTTAATTACTTGTATTATATGATGTTTTGGTTGCTTGTGGAAAGGGGAAAGTTATTGTTGCACCACGTGCAACACCTACTGACCTTTTTCCAATCCATCCTTTTGGCATTGGCATCAATTGATCTTGGGAGGCATGACTACAAATAATCATACCTCTAGAGGCCATTGGTAGGGATATATATGCCTATCCCTTTCTTTATATGCCAACGTGATGCCTTAGACATAGTTTTGGTGTTGACCTTCTATCCATCTCAGTGATCTAGTTATGGATTAGGAAAGTATTATTTGTAATAGTTATTAATTTAATATATTTAATTACACATTTCTTACATTATATTTCTTTTCACAATTATAGGTATATTCATCATGTGGTTGTGGTCATGCAAAATGTCTTTTATTATGGTTTTATCGAACCGATTGTCATCTAATGTGTTGGGAACAAAGACACTAAGATTAACCAATATTTGATAAATCGGTTCAAGGATGGTAGAAAAGAGATGTACTTATCACCTTATTTTAATGGGTAAATACTTGTATTATATTTGATTTTATGTTTATAGTAACTTATCAATTTCTAACTATTAAAAAAATGTAGTGGATATTTTGACAACTCCTCGTGATAATTTTTTAGTTAGTTTCTTATAGTTCTCCTTTGTTCATTAGACAAGAAAATTACTAACTTGTCTTTTAGATACATCATTGACTCGTAAGCATCTAAGTTCAATCTTTGTCATTTTTTTTTATAATTTCATGAAACAAACAAACAAAAATTGTATCATTTATCTATTTTTGGTTTATCATTTATTTTCGTAGGTCTTTGGAAGCAAGTTTGAGGTTGGAGAGGCTTCCTCCACTAGCTAGGAAGAAGCTTCAATATATTTTCCCAAATGTAAGTCAACTGTCAACCAAATAGTAGTTAAAATTCAATTAAAATATATTATAAGTATGATTTATTTATGTTTTATATTATAGTACCCAAGTTAAACTAGTAATCATGAGTGTGACTATTACGTGATGAAACATATGCTTATCATTATTATTGGCAACATTACGGACTCATGGAGAGAGGTAATATATTTTTAAATCAAAATAATTACTTTAAATGATCATACAACAATGTAATGATCGAACTAATGTTTAAATTATCTCTATTTTGAATTTATTGTGTAGGTATTCAAAAATTCACATCCATTTGCTCATGAAGACATGGAAGATATCCACAAAGGATAAACATCTTCTTTTCTTGAGACAATTAAAGGTTGATTGATTTAAGTTTTTATACATTATTTTAGTTTTATAAGTGTACATTGACTAGATATTTATGTTTTAGTTTTATCCTCTTGGTACATATTTGAGTGCATTATTTTAGTTTTATTTGTGTACATTTGTTATTAATTAATGACAATTATTATTAACTTTAACTTTATAGTTAACTATCTTTAATTTTATAAAGTTTAATTTATTCATTAATTCAATTTAAATGATAGATATCGTATGCTATATAAGTTTGTATTGAATTAGGCAATAATATGTTGATTTGAATTGCCTAAAATGTATTGGAATGTATTTCTGTTGTATAGGTTTGAACAAATTCAAAAAATGAACATATTAAAAATAAAAAAACTACACATTTTATGACAAGTGTGATGTTACCTATCATAGAATGTGAGCCTTTTATAATGGGTGTGACCATATCCGTCATAGAATATAAGTTTTCTATGATGGATATGGTCATACTCATCATAAAATGTAGACATTAATATATTAATATGCATCCCCTCAAACTCTTACTATAACGGGTGTTGATCACTTGACATAAAAGGTGAAGTTTCTATGTCAGGTGTTGAATCGTCATAGAATATGAAAATATTCTATATTATTTGGATCTATGACGCGGTCCTAACTAATATAGAATGTCCAAAATACCTATCATAAAATATCCAGACACACTAATAAATACAACAATACTACTATTATTACTTTGGCTCTTCCCTCAACCATTTTTTTTATAATAAGACCAATTTAGCATATGATCAAAACCAATAACTAAGGAAGGATTTTATAACGGAGGAATACTCTAAAATAATAAGCATATATTTTAAAAGTATTAACTAATATATAATTATATTTAATTATAATAATTAAATAAATAATAACAAGTATATAATCTAAGGGTATTAGTTTGTATATATTTTAATTTGAATAAACTAAAGTGATTAAAACCGATATATTGATAATTCTTTGAATTTTTATAACGCTGTTTTCTTTTTTCTATCTTTATTTACCAACAAATTAAAATTGAAGACATCTATTCATCTTTTCAAATTTCTTTCTTTAATCATTGAATAAGATACGCAATGAGTCTATTTTATTGTCTATTATTATTATTATTATTATTATGTATTGTATTTTTAACTTTGACGGTAATCTCTCACAGTCTCACTTTTTTTTTATTACATTCTTAAGCCATTAAATTTAAAATTTAAGTATTTTATGAAATCCTCCAATCTCCATTCTTAGTGTTTGAGACAATGTAAAAAGGTAAAAATAAATTGGTTTTATTGTTCTTCATTTTTTTATTTTTTTATTTTCTTTTCAACTTTTATGAAAACCTCTCAATACTTTTTATTGCATTCTTAAACCATATTTAAATTTATGCGTGTTTTGTTTAGACTATTTGTTTGTGTAGTAGATCTTGTTGTATTTTTTATGCCATTGCCTCCTTTATGTTCAACATATGCCTTAACAAATAAAAGGAGCAAGAATTGTTCGACTCTATCATTCAGATAAAGATTCAAGCAAGATTTAGATTTTATATTGGTCATTTATAATGTTATATGTAAATTAATTATTGGGTTAGAAGCAAGTTTTCAGTAATAGAGCTGTGGCTAAGTCCATATGTGGATACAAGAAAAATGGGGTACTTTCAAAAGTTTCCCTTGGTATCCTAGAGGAACTATTTTCAGTGGCAAGATATGTGCATGACTCACTAGAATCGCACATGCTCTCGATCGCTACAAATAACTCCCCATTTGATGTGTGGAGAAGTATTGTTCCAACCACAACTCTTGTTTTCCTTCACAAATCCTGTTCATCATTTTGGTATGGGGGACATTTTGTTGTTCATTTTTCAATCACGTTTTTGTCTAATTTCCTCTCATTAAAAGTATTACAAATTCGAATTCGAATAACACAAGACTCATACATGGAACATGGAGTGTTGCTTACAATTTTATTTCCGAGATTCGAATAAACGAGTTCAAATTCAACAAAGCAAGTACACATCATTACAGTGCCCTCTAGCTAGATCTTTATTTGTTCATCCCCTTGGCCTTAAAAATGGAAGTTTCTAAGGCCACATTGATACACACGACTTCACCGGTATTGGCTTGCAAGTTGACCCTCCTTGACAATGTAGTTTTGTTCTGGAAAGGTTTCACCCCTAAAGTGCCTATCAAGCATGTCTTTGACCCCAGCAGCATAACGTAACTGAACAAGTTTGATTTATTAGTAATGTTAGTGTTCCACCGAGTGAGAGAAACAACTTAGGCACAATAGTGCTACAGAAATTGAAGAGACAAAACTTAAATACACTAACATAAGTATTGGTGTTATTCTCTAAGCAGAGTTAAAAGTTCACCACAGTAATATGTATTTACATTTAATGCAAACTTGAATAATATATACTCTTACGCATATTGATAAAACTCTAACTTTGATTAAAAAACAATACCGGAACAATACCGACAACAGCTATGGTATTGTATCTAAGTTTTGTCCAAAGTGAAAATACCTGTGCATCTATGGTGGTGCCAGAAATATGAGGAGTCATAGCATGGTTTGGCATGTAGCGCCATGGATGATCCTTTGGGGCTGGTTGTATGGGCCAAACATCACCACCATAACCTATACATACAAATAAGATATTTGGAAAGAGGATGAAAAAATTTGCAATGGAAAGGATGATGAAAATTTCTCACACATCTAAACAACTTAAAAAGGAATATTAACAAACAACATGAATTGTTAGCTTGTCACATAAAAGTTGCCATGAATCAACTATCCCCATAGCTTGAGCACAAAAATGATTTTAGTATCTAACAAAACTATGGTATTACATTAGGTTAATAGTAGAATCATGTTTTGTTGCTGAAAACACGATTCTTTTTTGTCATCTGGTTTTAGAAATTACCTGCAACGTGGCCACTAGTGCAAGCATCAGCAAGTGCTTGGGTGTCCATAATTGCCCCTCGAGCATTGTTAACAATCAAGACACCTTTTTTGCACTTCGCAATTCTATTCTTGTCAAACAATCCCCTGAAAAACAAAATTCTTTGGTCACTACTCATCTATGAGAGATAATCAAATAATTTGAAAGACAATGCATAACTCATGTCTCAACCAGTACAACAAAAATCACAAAAAGTACATATACATCACTCAAATGAAGCACTTATCACTTTTATGTTGAATTAACCATAAATTAATTCCTTATGATAAATACTGATAATAATGCACTGCTCATAATAACTGTTTTGAAAATTATACAAGGCTCAAGATTTCATGTGTAATTTATTTATTTTTTTCAGATTGATATTAAAAGTATACCTTGTTTGCTCAGTGAGAGGGGTGTTGATAACAATTACATCACACTTTGGAAGCATCGCATCAAGGTCCTCCTCAAACTTTGCTCCAATCTCTTTCTCCAGCTCAGAATCCATCCTAACTCGATCAAAATAGAGAAGATTGCAGTTAAAAGGTTTCAACCTTTGGAGTAAAAGCTTCCCAATTCGTCCAGCACCAACAGTTCCTATTGTCTTGCCTTCAAGATCATAAGCTCTATGTGCAATGCCAGCAACATTCCATTCCCCTTTAACAGCCTGATGGTACCCTGGCAAGAAATTCCTCACTAGAATGAGGATTCTCATGAGTTCATCCTCTGCAACCGACACCACATTGCTTCCTGTGACCTCTGCCACAGTTAACCCAGCAGCCGCTGCAGCTTTGAGATCAATGTGATCGGAACCAATGCCAGCAGTCAAAAGCAGCTCTAGATTTTTGGCCTTCTTTATTCTTTCAGCAGTGACATATGCAGGGTGAAATGGAGTGGATATGAGGACATGGAGATCAGGAATGTGTTTCTCAAGTTCTGCAGCACGACAACAAATTACTGAGTTTCAAGCAATTAAGAACTTGAAGAGATAATTACAGTTATCTTTCCATTATATTAGTGTTGATTTATTTTTTATATCGATAAGAATCGAACATAGTGCAAAAGGGTTTTAATCAGTTACACACATTACTCAACCAACTGAGCTAACCTGCTTGGTACACTAATGTTAATAATACTCTTGTTTAAGAGATATTATTATTGGTTCGAGACTCGTTCCCAACCAATTTTTGCACAACACATCACCACATTAAAAGAGTTGATAACATGTTATATGGAAATTGTTAGGACCACATAGTCTCAGAATTTATCCTTGTCTGGAGAATTACTAAGGGTATACTTTTTATGGTTCTTACTAAAAGTAGATGATATATAATTCTGTTAAAAAAAGGTGTCAAAGTGTTGGAATAATCTATAGAATAAATAGGTAAACCAAATCATTAGGCTACTCCCAAGCCCCAAGTTAATGTTGTATAAGCTTGAATTAAGTTAACAAAATACTAACCAGAATCAGGTCCTTCTTTGTCATCAGTGACAATGTACTGATGACCCTGTGATTCTAACCACTCACGTATACCCAATGCTCCTTCAACACATCCAACAAAATTGGGATTCAGTGAAGCATACTCATTCCCTTTGTAGAATACCCCTACAATCTTCTTCCTTTCACCTGGGGCCTATTCTCAATCACAGGGAAAGAAATAAAAATTAATCAACGAAGATGTAGAATTATATATTAATCATGTTCAGCTGTGTAAATAATAAATAATTAAATGTAATGCACTAACACACATTTATTGAGGGTGTGTTTTTGTCTGGGGTATCAACAGTTTCAACATGTGTTGTTGTGTGGACTTGGTATGTTTGTGCTTCCGTGAGATCACTCATGTTGGAGGGTGAAATTAAGGATAGCAATAAAAATGATACAACAGAGAACTAAGAAGAGCAACTAGTGAAAGATTTGTTATTGGGGTGTGTGTATGTTGGTGAGGGAGATAATGCTACGTTATATAGAAAACGAGGGGTTGCCAGCTGATGACACGTACACGTGACATGGAAACTAGGCCTTTGCATGAAGAACATGTTTCAGTTTGGCCTCAGTTAAATACACCAGAAAAATTCAAGTTGCTGACATAGATAATGACAAATAAATGATAATAATATTTCTTTTATAGACTATATATATTCTCTACTGAAAATAATTTTATTCGAGTAGAACTAGAATTTGTGATCATTAGCTAAGCTGAAATAACTTGAACCAGCTGATCCACATGTTTGTCGATAATATATCATTCTAAATATATTTTTTAATGAGTGAAATTTGTTAAGAATTATAAAATTATTGGAATTCAACTCGTTGTTTAATAAATCCCTGTTTATAATTTAATAATATTTTGAAATTAAATTTTAATTTCTGTTTATAATTTAATGAATTATAGACTTCTTATATTCATATGGAAATATAACTTTTCTAGCTCCTTTACTTGGGAATAAAAATGGAAGTTCCAACTTTATCATGAATTAATAATACTGGAAAATAATTTTCAAAAACTTGTAATAAACATCAGAATATTGCATTCTAATTCTCATGATCATTTTCCCTGAATAAACTTTTGATCAGTGAAAGAAAAACACTCATAATTAAGAGTGCCTACGGCCTTTTCTGGACAGAGCAAGGGGAATTTTTGTTTGTTGTGCCATAATTTAATAATTAAATCAAACGAGGAAGAGAAATGGAACGGACCTCACCAAAATTAGAAATGTTCATGGATTCGATTTAATCGTATTTGATGCAAAATCTAATTTAAATCAAATTCAAATTCATTATATTTAATTGATTTTATTTGGTTCATATTTAAAAAAAAATAGCAATCTGATTAGAATTGAATTAATATTTTCAATAATTATCACTTTATATATCTCAATAATTTTGTATTAAAATAAAAAATAAATTTCTTTATAAAATGAGTTAAATTAATCTAAAATTTAAAAATAATCAATTGGGTAATCGAGCGAGTCAAAATAGATAGATCTGGTATCCAAACCACCCGATAGTTTTTAAATCTAAAGTAAAATGAACTAATTAACCAAAAATCTAAACCAATATAATTAATTTAAAAATTATCTCAACTGGATAAATCATTCTCCTAGAACTTGGAGATCCAATTCAGTTTCCTTATACTTTAATTCTTTCAGACTAAAAATAAGATAGGAGTAGGTGGGTTGTAGTTGACTCTAACCTTGCCGTTAAACTTTTATCAATTTTTATTTATAGTTTTGAAATTTTTTTATTTCTTTTAGTTCTTAAATTTTTTTATCACTTTTTTATTTTTAGTATATGAACTTTTTCTTGTATTAAACAACTTTTTTATCTTTGACATACTTTTGTTTGTGAAGAAAAATTTTAAAAATTAAAATTAAATAAAATCTACTGAGGGTAGAAAATGAAAATAACAACAGCAAAAAAAAGAAATTAAAGAATAAAAACATATTTAATTATTAATTTCATTTAAATGATCGGATTCATTGAATCAATCTGATTCGACGAATATTGAAAAAAAAATTCCTATTTAATAATCTTCTTTTTTACTCTGTAACTTTTAATAAATTAAAACTAATAATATAAAGTATATGAAAAAAAGAAATGTATGATAGAGTCCTAAAGAAAAGCCATATGAATGCAAGCAAAGTTTGATAGCAGAGGGACTCTACCACGTGTACTTGCATAATGAAGAAAACAACAAATCACAAACGGAATCCCGTGATCATCGTCACGGATAACGCATTGACGAAAGTGACACATACCAGATCGCAGCGTTCATCGTCGAAACAAACCTTAAAATTGAGAAGTAAAAAAGACGCAAATAAATTTAACACATGATTGGACTTACATGAAGGTTTCTGGTGAAGGTGGAAGAAGAGGCGAGCAGAGAGCGAACCGCAGAGGAAGCAACACGTTTCATGGCCATGATCATGTATCTATCTATATATGTAAATGAAAATGAAATTCACCAAATTAAAATGAAATCGAAATAACAGAGAGAAGAGGGGTGAGGTTTATATAGGAATCAAAAAGAACACGAGTCAGTAAAACATCGGCAGAGGGAAGAGTAGAAAGCATATGTAGAAACCTAGCTGGCTTGGGAAGGGAAGAACTAACGTTAGCAGCCTTTACTCCTTTCTCTGTCTTTCTTTCTTGTCTTCTCATCTTGTTTCTTTATACACGTGTGCCTTTCAACTCCCACGTGCCACTCTTTCATTTCACTTTTCTTTGCTTGTTTATTTGTTTAATCACTCATTTGTCACTGTCGCCATCTTATCCGCTTCCTAATCTCAACTTTAATTCAAATAAATTATAAATACAGCTATGGTGTTATTTGTCGTAGGGTGGTATCGCGGATCCAATCCGAATCATTTTATAAAAGTAGATGGGTTAATTAATCTATTTTTTATAAAATGAATCGATTAATCGATCTAATTTTTTTATAAAGTAGATTGGTTTAATTTTTTTAAAATATGAATTGGTTTTTATAAAATTAGATCAGTTTGATGCGGTACAGTTATTCACTTTTTATTCATATATGAATTAATTTTTTTAAAAAATCAAATCGAAATGAACTAATCTACTTTGTAAAAATAAATCGGATAACTAAACTGATTTTGTAAAGTGGTTCGGTTAATTTTTTTTTAAAATAAATTAAATTTTTCAATATAAATTAAATTGGTTATAGATTGATTTGGGTCAATTTGAATTTTTTTGCACACTCCTATTTTATGGAAGGAGTATACTTGAGCCAAATATATTATATAATATTTAGCATTGATTAAAGTGTTTTCGGAAAATATAAAGATAAATGTAAATTTTTTATTTAATTAATTAAAACAAAGAGAGGGTTCTTATTTAATAGTTACTACCATTTTGGTCGTGGGCCCGTTAGCATTCAGAATGCATGTATCCAACTTGAATTTGTTCTGCCCTGAGACTGGACGAGTCGCCACGGTTACACGGGATTCAAGTATTAACCACTCTGTGTTTCTTAGATAAAATAAAATAAAATGTTGTGATTAAATATAATTTTTGTTATTATTATTTTTTATATAAAAAATAAAATGATTATACTAAAAGAAAATATTTTTTAAAATTATTCTTTAACGAAAGTATTTTAAGAATTAAGAATGTTTATTTTCAATGAAAGTATTTTTAGATAATATTTTCAGAATTTTTTTTCAACTTCTCATCCTTCTGATTTGTTTTTTAGTTTTAGTATTTTTTATTGAATTTTAATATTTTAAAAATTAACAGTAATTAAAATAACCTTATATTAAAAATAAATTATTATATAAATCTAAAATAAAATTTATATACTCAAAAATATTTATTTGTTATGAATTTTAATCATAATATAATTCATATATTTAAATTATTTATTTATCATAAATTGTAGTGATATAAAGTAAGCATTTTATCTTGTATATTGGATATGTACTAAAATGCTTGTTAAAACTTTTAAATTACATTGACAAATATTAAGGTTATTATTCTAGCGAGTACATATGTGAATATTTAAAAAAAAAATATGAGTATTATATTATTATCTTCAAATTTTACTTATCTTAATCTCAAGCGTGTGGTTCAGTGGTAGGAATTGATTTTAAGCAAGGTTAGGAGTTCGAATTCTGCTTTGTGTATGCAGCCGTGTTAAATCTTGGAACCAGTTATCCCACCTTTTGAGGTACCTCTAACATAGCGAGGAAATTAGTCACATCTATCAGCGGTGGATACTCCAGGGACGAACTAAAAAAAAAATCTACTTATCTTCATAGTTCTTTAAAGTTTGGTCTTTTAATAGTGTTAAAATATGGTTGTCGACGTTAAAATAATGCAGTGAACATCAAATATAACATAATTGTGCGAAGGCAACTTTCCCAATTGACAAATGCACGATCTAAGGAGGCTCCCTTTCTTGCCACATTCATTGGCTTCACTATATATGTGTGCAAGAAAGTGAGGTTTCAAGAATAAGTCTTGAAAGCTTTAGTACTATTGACTAAAAGAGCATACCAATGAAGTTGATGGACACCCTACAAGACCCAAGATAACACACTAATGGAATCCAATTCACATACAAGAGTTTGGTATCTCGAGTTCTATGCTAACTTGACTCTATGATAGATTGCTACGAGTCGAGCATAGTTGCATTCAAGTTTATATATATACAACATTATCCTAAAAACTTGTTTCCTATGAGCCATGTATATATCTAACTATTAGAAGACTCTTGTAATTACTAGTGCAAAAATTAGATTTAAAATTAGAGTTTTAAGATTGGTTACAAGGTAATCGAATTTAAAAGTGACGCGGTGGCAATTTTGTAAATAATATGAACACTTTTAAGATCGGTTAAAATTTAACCGACCTTAAAAGTACTTTTAAGATTGGTTATTTTATGACCGATCTTAAAAGGTATGTCTGACACAACTTTTAAGATCAGTTATAAAAGAATCGATCTTAAAAGTTATATCAGACATAACTTTTAAGATCGGTCAAAAAATAATCGATCTTCAAAGTACTTTTAAGATTGGTTATTTTATGATCGATTTTAAAAGTATCTTCAGAAACCTTTTATATTTCCTTCCATTCTCATTCTCTTTAATCTTTTCCTGCATTCATTTCTTTACTCTCTCGCGCTCTCATTTTCTAAAGTCTCCAATAAGTTAAATTTCGTTGTCGTTTTCGTTTTCGTTTTCGTCTTCTCATGCTCTTCTTGTGTCTCTTTTCGTTTTCTCATACTCTTCTCTTGTCTCTATTTTCGTTGTAGGTTTCTTTTTAATAAATTTCGAATATGGAACGGCCCGTTCTGCTTGCAGTACGAGCCGTTCTGCAAGGAGAACGACCCGTTTTGCAAGGAGAACGACCCGTTTTGATGTCTGTTCTGGTTTATGCCAAACTATGCTAGAACAACCCATTCTACACTATCTTTTTACACCTTTTTAACAACCTGGAATGGCCCGTTCCAGTTAAATTTTTTTCGGAGCCAGGACTTTTAAGATCGGTTATAAAACAACCGATCTTAAAAGTTAACTTTTAAAATTTTTAAAAGTCTAACTTTTAAAAGTGGCTCTTTTAAAATCAGTTACGGAACCGATTTTAAAAGTTGAAAATAACCAATTTTAAAAGCCTTTTTTCTAGTAGTGAATTGAGAAATCATTTTAGATAGTTATTATTTCATTTAAGCTTAAACTTTAAAATGTACCAATTTTTTTCGTATCACGCGGAATTTCAATTTTATCTCTACGCTTAAGTTTTTTTTTTTTAAGGATGAAATGTTATTTTTAAACATTATAGATGTCATTTCACAACAATTATGTTTGATGTTAAAAGATGTTTACCACATTCATTTTAATTATATCAAAATCACTTTATTATATTTAATAAAGTGATGTAAGGATTGGCTATGCATTTGAATATACCAACTATCCAATGTTACATCTTTGAAGAGTTCTACATATGATCATTTCCAAACTAGCCAACAAGTCGCTACAAATGATGAAGTGCGAGTCCCCTAACCATGTAATTGAAGCTAATCATTGAATTCTTGGGCACAAAAGTCGTGACCGCGATTTAACCACGTTATTCTCCAAATTAGCTTTGATTGAAGCAATCATAAAGAGTGTGAAGGTTAAATTCTTGAACATACACAGAGACATTGAATCTCCTTGCCTTGTTTTAAATCTCTGTTTTGCGGTAGAAGTATCAAGTTTTTCACTATTCCATTTCTCAAACAATTAAGGAGGATATAATTGTGCTATTCATGATAAACTCATGGGAATCCAAAATTTGTTAATGTAAGTCATTGAAATTTTCAACCTATCCAATCACAAGGCCTTCTCAAAACCAATTTTGAAAAGTAGATATATCCATTTTTGTTACTTTTATGCATGTAAGTACAATTTGCATGAAATACATAAAAATAATTGAAAAAAAAATCGCAAGAAATTCTTTTGAATATTTAGTTGTACATATTCAATTTAATTGTATTATATTTGATGAATATATGTTTAAGTTTATCATATATTTTATTTAATATGTATAAAATTCTTGTTATTAGAGAGCCAAATTTACTTATGGTTAGGTGGACATTTTGTTCTTCAATTTTCACTCACGTGTTTGTTAACCTTACTAATTTCCTTGCATTACAAGCGGTACATATCCAAATTCGAAAATACAAGATTCATACAAGGAACATGAAAAGTGTTCCTTACAATTTTATTTCCGAGATTCAATTAAACAAGTTCAAATTCAACAAAGCCAAGTACACAATTAAAGTGCCCCTTAGATTTTTATTTGCTCATTCGTTGGCCTTAGAAATGGAAGATTCAAAGGCCACATTGACACTGAAACACAGCACTTCAACGGTACTGGCTTGCAAGTTGACCTTCTTTCACAATGTAGTTTTGTTCTGGAAAGTCTTCACCCCTAAAGTGCCTATCAAGCATGTCTTTGACCCCAGCAGCATAACGTAGCTGAACACAAGTTTGGTTTATCATTAATGTTAGTTAGTGTTGCACCAAAGTGAAAGAACTTGGACACAAAAATGTTATAGAAACTTAAAATACCTGTGCATCTATGGTGGTGCCAGAAATATGAGGAGTCATGGCATGGTTTGGCATGTATCGCCATGGATGATCCTTTGGAGCTGGTTGTGTTGGCCAAACATCACCACCGTAACCTATATATACAAATAAAAGATTTGGAAATGTTGATGTATATATATGTCTCACATCTAAATTAACAACTTATATTGGGTTAATAACAAACAATAATATGAATTGTTTGCTTGTTAGATAAAATTTGCTGGATGAAAGCACATAAATGATTTTAATATCTTAACAAAATAATGTCATTACATTACTTAATAATAGTTACATGTTTTGTTGGTGGAAACAATTACCTGCAACATGGCCATTAGAGCAAGCATCAGCAATTGCCTGGGTGTCCATAATTGCCCCTCGAGCATTGTTAACAATCACAACACCTTTCTTGCACTTTGCAATTCTATTTTTGTCAAACAATCCCCTGAGTCACAAAAAACTTTGGTCACTACTCAACACAGGAAAATGCTCAAAGAATTTGAATATTCATTCAAAACCCATGTCTCAACCAATACAACAAAAAGCATGCAATATACCTTGTTTGCTCAGTGAGAGGCATGTTGATGACAATTACATCACACTTAGGAAGCATTGCATCAAGCTCCTCCT